GCGAAGATGTTGCGTGGCCCTACAGTAGGGCATGGGTCGCCAGATTTGGATTTGCGGAACTTCATTCTTACTACTGTCGTATGTGCATTATTAAAATAAATTGTGGCTTATTATTAAATGGTAGTTGGGAGAACTTAGAATCGCACGCCACAGCGTAGCCCTACCACAGTTGAGTTCTCATTCATTTTTTTTTTGTGAGAATAAAGTCAAAAACGGAAAAGCTCTTTTTTATCAATTTAAATTATTGTATTATAATATAAACACACTTAAACCCAGGTAAGTAATGCTAACTTAATGCTTTTTGCAAAAATATATTTTGTTTATATTTTTATAAGTATATGTGAAAAACGATTCCCTACTATTTGTGAATTATAACTATTTCATTTTTTTACACCTAGAATATCTATTGTTGCTGGAGTCATCTACATTTAGGTCGGATTACTCATCTCATTTATTTTATACTAACGTATTCGTAAAGCTATAAGCCTTACGTTTTGGATGTAAAGTAGGGCAGTTGTGAATGATCTCAAACCGACCCAAGCATTGAGGCTCCGCATTTCATTATATTTAACATCAAGTTTTTGCTACGTATACAAGTAGATGTCTTTTTAATTTATAAGTTCATGAATTGCTCTGACCTTTTTTTATGGTAAGTACTTCCTACATTCTTTGTGATTCCTTAAGCTCCTTTTATTAGAGAAACACAAGTTTCACAGTTTTGAATTTGTATTACATTCTATCAATGTTGAAAGATTACGTTCCACATAATAATGTTAGCTAATAAAAGCTATTATTAGCTAACAATTAGCTTCACGTGTAACTAAGTGTCAAACAATGTAATGTTAAGTCAATTTTAATCTACTTCTTAACGTCGTATCAAATTGCAACTTTACGAAACTGTAATTTGGTATCTTGGAGCTGATCTAATGATGGAGCCAGGAGGTGAATAGTGGAACTCTGCTGTGACTCCGCTCGAATTTGAACTTTCGTTGATTTACAAAGTATATTTTTATTTAATGCTCAGCAAAAATATTCAACAAAGTATGTCATAACATATGGTTCTGTTATCTTGAAACTTGTCGAATTGTTATACATAGACGCAAGATTTAGTAAACGCCAAGATGATTAGTTACGAAAAGACATTGGACTGATCGTTGAAAAATAAGTCTGAAACAATTGTGTATCAACTTCTTCCGGGTTCTTAGAATCATCTCATCTTAGCAAATCTGTATGTACAAAAGACAGATTTGTGTACGCAATACGTGCAATTGCTTAACACGAACTGCAACCTTAAATTGACACCAAAAATCAAATCATGACTACCACCATGCAACTTTCTTTACGAGTCTCAAATAAAGGCTACTTAAATAGCGAAGTTCTATCTGCCGTGTTGCCGGGGAAGTCCCACGTCCTCTTAAAAGCCCGATATCAAGTGAACGTTTATTTTTCTGGTGGGTTTTGTCGGTGACTGACGTAACGGGTAACCCCACTAGTGTCGGACGTCCACGGGTAGCGATTGTCACTTGCCATCTCCGTTATGAGTGCTAGCCATCGGATGTTATCTAAGCAAGCACGTTTGTCGCCTCTTTTGAAAATTAAAATTGGTTGGTAAATTTTTTTTTCAAAAGCTTCTTTGTCTATTTCAAGAATCTGTTGGAACCTTTTAATTGGAAATGACATTATATAACCGCTTATTTCTCTGACAATTTGACTAATTTTATACAAATTTATTTATGGAAGTATTTATCACCAACATATAACGTTCGTTCATTTACGTTGTTTCTTCACCAACATATATATCGGGGATCCCGCTCCAAAACACTACACGCACAAGTACACAGAACATTCACGCCTACGGGCACGTCGAAACCAACACACCGCGTTCACAGCTGCTCCCCCGTTCCAGGCCGGTTCTCGCCGCTCCCAGCAAACTATTAACACGGTCGACCCTCATACCCGACGATAGCACACGGTCTGCAGTACCCCTGACAAAACACACATGTATATGTGCGTGACTCTACTTGTAGGGTCTTAACAAGCACGTGGAAACTGTAGCATTTCTACGGGCCTTGTAAAGCTGTTGTTGCGAAAACCTCATTAAAAAAAGACATTTCTCCACCTTCGCAGCCGTGCATAGGATGAATATAAATGGACACCGAAATTTATGAATTAAAATAAAACATTAACGTTAGTTGTAAATAAAACTATTTTTTTGACTTCATCGCGTTTAAGTTATTATTACAATTCCGCCTTTGGAACATTTATCGACAGCCAGGGTTACGGAATAGTCTGAGTAATAAAACGTCCCAATTTTTTAGTTTATCCTATGCTAACGCCAGAATTCGTCCGTCGTCCGTCGTCGTAGTCCGAGCTACGCAGAAAGAGTACTGCTGATCCGCTTGGATTTAACTCAATAAAAATAATTAAACGTGATAAAGTCCTGCGTTTTAATTTAAATTTCATTGAACAACGCATAGTATAAGGGTAAATCTAAGCGATCGTTTTAAAGTTTTTTTCCAATGGAATTTATTCATAATTTTTGACGTTGTAATAATTATTCGCTAGGCGCAATAATAGAACAGAGTTACCAAGCTTAGTGATGTTAACTCGGGACCGCAGGTTACTAGTTTGAATCCGGTACGTCGAAGTCGAATTGAAAGGTACATTTTTAATAACTTATGGATATTAAATCCTGATAATCCTGTGATGCATGTACAACTGCTATGAATGTGAGTAAAAGCAGTGTCACAGAGTGGAGATAACACTTTTTTAAAGATTCTTCTTTTTTCAGAATTACACAAGAAACAATTATCAAGTACAAGTAAAATACTAATTACTAAATGAACTCATTTTCAAAAACTGTATGCATGGTTATTAAAGTATAATTTAAAGTCACACCAAGATTTCAATTGTTGGCATAAATTAAATCTGAAAATCATAATCACAATATTTTTTTATACATATCCGTCGGAACAGATAATTTCTTCTAGAGCTTAAAAGACTTCAATGGCGGAAAGCAATATGAATTGCCAATTGGTCATCTCTACAATTTATTTAGCTTTCTTAAATTAATAAACGTTTCTTCTTCTTCTTCTTCTTCTTCTTCTACTAACAAATTGACTACTATCATATTTGAAGTAAACTAACATCGTCTCAGTTGGTGAACACTCAATAAAGGCCTATTAATTTTTACCTTTAGAATAATCACATCGTACTCGGAAGAGAAAACTGGCGCTTGCAAATGGTTCCACTCTTGAGCCATACCAAACGAGAGGCAACATCTTCGTTCGGACACGGGGAATGTCTACAAAAGGAAGGAGCCTGCTAAGGGAGGAATTCAATCATATACACTTATGTAAGTAACTTCACGAGTAGTTATATTTTTTGGCTGCTAATTTAAGTGCTCTTATTATATTGAATTATTTAAAAAGCAGACGTGGACGTCGACTCTTGGAATACAACTGACAAGACTGTAATCAACTCAGCGGTACAGTTTCTTTCGACTTTTATGAGTCAAAGTAAATTTCTTACGGCGATTGGGAATTTGTAATTAACAATAATTATTTATTTTTCTCCCGCGAGGAACGAAACACGCGAGACCTGGGAATATTAGGCTATAACAAAGTACGGGTAATTATGATAACGCAATACGATGAATAGGGCTCGTTTACTAATGGATCTAGACCTCTGCTTTCGTTTGACCTATTTCGTCGTCAAACAGAAACTATTCATCTGGATAGTCAGGGTCGCCGTGACGTAAAGCCCTCGTGGGTAATAGAGATTGATTTAAAATTTCCAATATAAAAACGAATGATAGGCTTAGAGTGACGTGCCGAACAACATTAAAGAGGTTTGGCAGGGTAATGTACCTGTAAAAAGAATAGCTTTAACTCTTTATTATCAGTTTACTAAGATATTATTAATTAATGACGGAAATAAATGTTACTATTCGATTAAGTGGTGACTTTGTCATATAGAACCATGTAAGGTGTCACAGAATGTAATTGGAGGTTACTAATCATTTTAAATTAACCTTAAATATCTTTCTCATCTCTTATTTATAATTATAAAAAAATAAAGTTCCTTTAGTCAAACTGCCAATTATTTATAACAACTTTGTGAGATGATTTGCTTTAGATTTAATTAGAAAGGCTTTAATAACATAATTTCGGTGAAAGATTGTATCAGTTATTTAAAAAAAAACAATCTATGCCATATTATTCCAACTTACTTGATACAGGTCTAAAATTATTTACTGACATGTTGCAATGTATTTTTATCAGAAAGTTGTATATAAATTTAATTTTCTACTAGGACGTCATTGAATGCGTAACATATAATTGACTCGCGTATCCAATAATGTTGTTGTGCTACTAAGGGAGAAGTAATAGCAATTATAATGGTTTAAATTATACTTTTAAATGATAATACTTTTCAGAGATATGTTTTTCCTCAAGCTAAAATCCGGGCCCGTTTTATCTGTTACGGGAACACCGCGATATTGATCTTCAAACAGGGACGTCCACACAGGCCGGGCGTGTGGCGGCTACCCATGTCTAAAAGCTTTATAATGTAATTACTCGACAAGCAACTGATTACAATTTAATATTTACTATTTGCAATGCTGTATAGCTGCAAAAGGTATATGAATTCCATGGTTGATGATTAATTAACATGTTTAAATGTATGAAGATAACATTTAACTTTACACCGTTACAAGTATTAAGTCGGTTAACGAAAAACGAATTCAAAAACAGTTTGGCCAATTCACTGTGTTGTATCAGTATTCCTAAGTCCACATATGCAAATCTAGGTAGACTATACCCACCAATTACTTTGAATCACGTTAAATCCTTTACACTGGTAATAACGGCTAACCATCTTCAAGAACAATGGATGAGTTTTAGTTTCAATATCAGATTTTCAGTGACATCGTGCTACAAGGGCGTGTCGAAAGCAATCTCGTGAACGTCCAAGTGTTGTGCGGGTCGGCGGGGTCACGCGAAGGTGGCGACGAGCGGAGCGGGCGCGTGCGGGATGCGGGAAGGCGTCGGGCGGCGCTGGTGAGGCGGTGTCCGTGGAAGCGGCCCAGCGGCTCTCCCGACGGCGGCGGGCTCACGCACGGAATGCAGCGGGCGCGGCGCGGGGCGCGCGCGGGGGCCGCTGCTGCCGCGGCGACGCTCGCTGCTGTCCGCCTCAGTCAGCCGCGCGCCACCGACACGAGTGTTGTTCGAGACGCGCGACACCAGCTCCGCACGCAAACAGGTACGTAGCGCGCCCGACCTTCGTATTTCTCTCGCAGCCACTCGTGCCCACGGGCCCGCCGCCGGTGGCCGCAACACCGCCGCACGCCCACCGGCTATTTCGGCCCGATCCTGTCGCCCCGCACCAGAAATAGCCGGTGGCGACCACGACGTCGACCAGCGAGCAGTCGACCCGCCACCGACGCAGGTAGACGGGCGACGTCGGGCGCGATGACCCGACGGCCGTCAGCCGAAAGAGAATCCCTAAATACTTTCCGGTCATCGCTTCTGCGGTTTTATCAGTGTTACATATTTATTATTTGTCGGCGGTGCGGTGAGGTCAGTGAGCGCACGGCGATGTGTGCCTTATCGCGTGCGGCGTAGGGTCGCAGCGGGAGCGCCTCGGCGGCGACGACGCGGGCGCGCCCGACCTCGGGCTCTGCTCTGTCTTTGCCCTGCTCTTGCGTCGTTCCTATTTACTATATGTACCTATAACATGTCTCCACCTACGTACTGTCTCGCATAGCGCAATATGTGTGCACAACAATTAATTCGGTGGCAACAGTCGCCAGACGTTCTTGCTCCATTACGTTTTCATCTATCGCCATTGTCACCAAGTGTTGCCAAGATACTTCTATGTTTGTATTATGTATATATACAAATAAGTATTCACAACAAACTCCGCGATCTTTTTAAACCTTCAAATGTTGTTCGTTGGGTCGATTAGGTACTTTTTGCATTTTAGATCACATTCGTGATTTCCGTTAATGCTTTTTGCCTTCGACGTCATCTAATCATAAAGGTAGAATAGAAATATTTGTAACACGATCAAGTCGGTGACAACGGCACTCGGTTGCACTAACACTGATCCCAGCAGTAAATAACACGGGTTGTTTTCTCTATTATCGTACAGATACAAGCCACTTAAAACGTGACTTACTCATATAAACGAGCAAAGTGGAGTATTGTACTCCACCATTGTTTGTTGCTTTAACGAAAATTGTTTGCGGTTCTCGTGGTTGGAAATGAAAGTGTACCTTAATTCTCAATTATAAAAATGACGGACATAATCCTTGCTAGGTTTCTGAGATATAGATGCCACGAAATACGTCGGTATATGTACGGCTTGCCCGTTGACGAGGGATCCGGCGTTCGTCGTCCGGAGTCGTCTTCACCAACACGTTTGGTGCGTGTTAAAATATTAAGTTTACGCGAATTTCGCCTCTATTCTTGGGCAGTTATAAACTTAACTTGCGCATCGAAATCGCGGCGCTTATTACGCCCCAGTCGCAACACTGAAAGTTCTCCCCGCGTTTCAAAATAGCACCTAACGCGAATCTCGCACTTAAAGTCATGAGCAGTAGACCTAGATCTGTTTGTGTGTAAATCGGCTTTAACGGCGTATCGTTGCTGAGGCCGGGGTCGAGATCCCCGACGCACAAGAGAGTGAAAGTTGGGGGTGGGTGACAGGCGGGGTGGCAGCGCTCCCTACAGGAGTGGTCGACCCGGGACTCCCAACTAGGATTTGCTAAATCTGCTGCTTTTACGCAAAGGCCAGCGAAAAACTAAATTACCGCCTTTGATGGATGCCAACTATTCTAATGGTACAACATCTATACTATAATCAGATATCACTATATTAAGAACGTTAACCAAATAGGGAATTTACGCTGTTCTCGTTCGAAGACGTCAAAAAAGTCAATTAATGATTAAACTCCAAATGATTAAATAAAAGTAAACAACCAAAAACCAAATGAACAACGTTTACCCGTACTTTATTTATTAAAACCAGGGATGAACTTTTTAATTTCTTTTGTTCGCTTACATATTTGAATGATGCATGTTGAAAACAATGGGCCCAATTCGGCTGTCACATACCTATTCACAATTATGTGTAAAGATAGACTTTAGAATATAACAATTTTTTTTTTGGAACGTATTACTTTTTCAGTTTGAACTCTGCATAAAAGCTCGTCGTTTACTTCCACATAAAGGCTTACAATATTGCAAGAAATATTACTGTGTAATACACGTGTCAGCGACGCTCCCTATAAATTAGTTAATTGTGGGCGTACACGAATTTGTTGAACGCAAAAGCCGAATTATTCGTAACAAAGCATCGTGTTCTAAAACTGTTAGGTTGGTAGGCGCGAAGTTATGTTGGTAGGTAGTCATAGGCGAAATTCGACCGGCCTTGTGCGCGTTGGGCGGAGGTCTCGCCATCCCGGGCCTACAGCGTTTCTGTTGCTTTTACAATATCATTTTGTGTAGGACCCGTTCGGCGTTTCTGAACGTTGAAAATGTATTCTTGGCAGCTGTCAGCTTTTAATTCTGTTGGGTCAACTTTATTTACTTCATTTCCAATAAACTAGCCCAGTCCAAAATAAAATATGTTGTAAAAGTTTTTTGCGATTAAGAAGACAGTTTAAATTTAAAGTAATACGCGTTAGTTTCCCCTGAAAAGGAATATATAAGAATAAAATATGAGACAGATAGTGTGAGGGTCCTTTAACTCAGAAGGCTAGCGCAGGCAGCGGAATTAACATCTCATAGCAAAGGGGTTATTCGAAAGATAGGTTAGCTGGCTGTAATAATAAGAATGCGGAAGCTTTGTCGGCGTGGATTTGCAAATGTTATACCACCAGTTATAGTACAAATCCGTTTATAACATTAAATGTTTTACAAAATTGCTAATTACAAGACATAAAATAATAAATGACTATAATGGGCAAGCCTTCGTATGCTAGCTAGACAGTGAGGAGTCTAGCAGCTGTCTGAACAAGACTTAAACATAAGCGATTTTGATCTGATTTGGCCAGTGTTTTCAGAGTTCAAAAGCGAGAACCGTTAATGCGTAAAATAAAACCTTACAATATATTTATCTGGAAAAGGAAAAAACATGAATGTTACACGTGGATCTTATTATAATTCTCTTTAACTTTGCCTGAAGGCGACTTGGGTGTGTAAATGGAGGAACTCTATGAAAAATCGGAATGTTGACTCTATTCCGACATAAATACGGACAAATATATAAGGGGAATATTCAAATATTTCTAAACATTTTGTGATACTGACGTCCGTTTCGCCTCTCGCTTCCTCACATCTACGGTTATATAGATCACGGGTACTTTAACTTGGGCCTTCTTCGGTACTACGCCGCCAATCCGGTCGATATATTTTTTCGTCTAGGGCGTTTCCTACCGACAGCGTCGTTCACCTCCACAACATCAATTTTATTCATCGTGTTTTCCCTGTTAATTCTTTTGTCATCAACATTAACTATCATCAAAGTCACCAACTTTTATTGACTACACTTAAAGTACACCTGTTGACTATCGTTATATATTTATTTACCATGGATTATGGTAACACCTTAATAATAAAATTGCCTCATCCAATGCGCCGCACTCTATTAGTGTTAAGTTTTATTTAGGCTATACAATAAAAAATTTTTTATGACAGCTGTTATGAAAAATCAAAGAAACCCATTAAACTGAGAAGTGAACGCCTCTCCAATTTGTGGTGTGCAATGTTAATAGCGTTTGTTTTATGGAGGTAAAGAAAACAGTCCTTAACACAGTAGCAACTAAAATTTAACTTTTAAATTTCGTTTCATTACAGTTAAAACGTATTATTTTATAAGTACGGTTTTTAGGAATCGCTAGTCGCGAGATTTTAGCATATATTTTTTGACAAATCGAATAGAGACCAAGAAGTAACTTTTTTAATCGCCTGTTGGCACTTAAAAGCACGTCGAATATCGTGCTCAGCACTTCTTTGAAACTGTAATTTCTTTTACATTAAAACGGTGGCGTGCTTAGCTAAAACAAGAAGTTGTTACCACATTAAAAAGTTGCAGTTACGCTTAGGCCAACCTTTAAAATACACGCAGAAGCACGAAAAAAGAACTCATAAATTTTCGCGTTCAACGACAACTCATGCTTTTACCATTGTCGTAATTAAATTTTAATGAGCGTGAATTTGGTGTAAAAAAAATTGAGAAATTCATTCTTCTTATATCATAATTTTTATAAGCAAATGTTTCTCAGGTAGTTACAATACGGCACTCGATCCAAGCTCAAGATTGTGACCTATTTTTTTACGAGTTCCTCTAGAGTTCATCCCTGCAACTTTAAACATATTTGCCACAGGCAGCTTCGATTACCTATCTATATATAACGGCGTAATGAGATCAAAGTCGAAGACGTCTAAGCGTAACACCTGCGTTAGACGGTTGAATAATTCGCGTGTGTCGTTATGAGATTGTTGGAGCGCACCTCTGCGCCATGCGGAGAGGCGACGGCAGCTGCATTGCAGCTGGCGTGTGCTTTTTCTCGTTTTGCTGCACCGCCGGACAGAATCCTGCACAACATATTCATAGCCATAAGCGGACACGGCCCTTGAGGCGTCGGCCACCGCTGAGACTGGATTTTCGATATCCCCTCGGCGTATAACACGACGGTTCTCGTGACGTTTTATTGATAGCAGGAAAGTATTGTTATCGCTCCGTAACATCGCGAAACATGCATATCGTCTTCTTAGAAATGTTAGTAGGTTTGCTTATTTGTAGATATTAGAATACTTATTTTTTTTTTGCCGTCGTTATTTACGGCCGTGGAACGTGTGTATACGCCAACCAGTAAGACAGTAGATGCCAAAGTAGTGTTATTATGTTTGCGGTCTAAATTTATTTTGTTTTATAGATTGGGGCGCTCAATTTTATTTTTTACATGATAAAACTATTAAATAAGCCTCTGTAATATTCAATAAAAGTTTTAATTAAATATGTTACAAAATTAATTTTATACCATAATGTTTTACATGTGTTTAATTATTTTACTTTTTTTCGATGTCATAAATTTAAATTTCTTCAAAAAATTTTGTCACTTTATGAAGTTTTGATAGATGTTACCTTACTTTGCCGTCTAGTTTACATTAAATGCTATCTTTCAAGACATCAGCGGTTCTGTCGTTTAAAACATGAAAGAAAACTCGAAATTGGTTCATATTTACTCAACATGATTAAGTACAAGTCAACTTTTTATTATCAAGGGATATTTGGATATAAAATGGGATGAAAATTTGAAATCGTTAATATAATGGCAAATCGGATTGTATGAAAACGATATAGTTCGAAAGAGGATGTGCCAACTAAAAAGGTACATTTGTAAAAGAAGTGCTTCCGTGGTTTGGTCATGTGAAAGGATAGAGGGGAGACGGGACGCCCTAGACGAACCCATATCGAGCAGTGATATTTAAAGAATGATAGATTAATGTTTTGGTCACTAATTAATGTTGGTACATAATTGTTGCTGCCTGCATGTTAGTGATGTTATAAATTCTGAACGATTTACCCGCCTGAGATCGTCAGACGATGGTTTATAGCTAGGTATGTCGGAATACAACGCAAGGAATTGGAAAGCCCAGTACGTCTTCCCGACTAGTTAGGTAAAAATATATTTTCGGCCAAAATTTCTTTGAAAAACGATCCAATCCATTAAGTCAATAACAAACTCTTGCTACGTTCACAATATATTTGTGCTTAATTTGGCCCACATTTTTTAATGGAAAGAGTTTAAAAAACTGATGTTGCCTATTAAAGATCCAAACTGACGGTCATATAAACGTGTCGGATCACTAAACGTGTGATGTATTGTAATAATGTAATAGCAAAAATAAGAGAAATAAAGTAATACATATTACTTCCCATTTTTAAGATTTACAGAATTAAGTTCAGAATAGTCTTAACTTAATTCTGTAAAGCTTAGCTTATAGAAGCTGGTCTAGTACATATAAAGATAGTAGTAGTAGTATATATTGCACAGGCGTTTCTACAAGCAATTACTAGCCTTCCTAAACATGGTATTCAACATACTTTTGTAAAAAGAAATACACAAAACGATCGTCAGAAAAGTGACTTTTATTGAGAGCACTCTATGCATATACTTAAAAGATTTTGAAACATTCATAATGTTATTAATGTCCGTTATTATCAATTTCCATTGCCGTGTTCACAATTAAGAGTTGTTCGACACTCATCACGAAGGCATATATATAGGCAGGTGGTACAGGCTCTTACGTAACAAGGTCGATCCGTATTACGTAGAGTTAGGTTGGCGAAGAATGGAGGTCGGGCCGCCTCCCTGCTCCCGAGGGCAGGCTAGTGGGGTCGCTGCCATTTTCGTTTAGTGGCACCGCCGTCACCTCTTGCATGTTGCCCGCACGATTAGGTAGATCCACATCGGGATGGCCCCTTCGACTTCTACCGCTCCTCTTTAATACTTAACAAGTCTCTTATTATATAAAATTTGTACATGTAAACATAGTCTGGTTTCGAACAACGAACAAACAGTAAATAGATTGTTAATAAATATGATATACATATTTCCTCACTTATTGGACTAATGGCCGTTAAGCTTAGAATAAAAAAAAATATCAGTTTCTGTATGCTATATTTACAATCCGTATTTCACCACTTGTGTTTTTGATAATAAGAATAATATGTCATAATGGAATGTGATGAAATAAACGAAACTAGATTTAATATCCCGTAAATTCATAGCTGAAATGCGGTTCGGATGTAAGATGTTATAGTAAAAAAATCGGTTATTGCCAAGAGATGATGCTACGCTGAATTGCCATCGCAGCAACATAGCGGAGATAACGTTATCAGCGATAGCCTCGCCGAGGGGATTCTGTGAAGCCACATAGGTCTAATGCGCATGAACTATTATTGTCCGCTCGTGTATGCCGCATTTTTGCAAGCCACTTAAACAGACGGACAATCTTGTACTGGTGCCGTAAGCTATTGGCAAATTACCAACATACGCAGTACACTTGAACACGGAGTTAGATGAGACATCGTTTGAAATAAATTAAAAAAATAAAAATCACTTTTCGGGACACTTTAGGGGTGTTAGCCATCTATATTAGAACCTACCAACGATAGACTATTCATATTGACCGGTTGTGCGATTCGGGCCGCGGGCTCGTTATCGACGGCGGGCACCGGCGGCATGATGTTTTAATTTCCAATGGAATTATCGCCCCGCCGCCGGCTGTCGCGTGTGCGTCACAGTAGGGAAAAGAGGTCGGTCGTGTCCGCGCCCGCCGTCCGCACCCGACCAACAACGAAGAGCGGCACGCGCTCCAAGTGCTATATTCTACGTACTTGATAATCTGCCCGTAGATAGGCCGCACGCTGCTTTGTAGGCGGCACGTAATGCGTGCGTGGTCGCTCTAAGCGGAGACCGCATCCATGTGTTGCCAGCGCGGCGGACGAGCGTCGCACTCGCTACTGACCTCACTGCGCACCACCTAAATATGACCTAAGCGCGCTCGGACCATTGTTTTTTCGTCTCACCCGGCTCCTTCTTTGTTTTAAGCGTCGATATTTACAGACGCGACCGGGCCCGTTTAGCACGGTGTCGTTCCAACTCTAGAATGTCAAGGCCAGTTATTGGTTCAGCGCGCTTACGAATTATCAGATCAAATCGGTGGTTCAATGTGTTATTGCATAATTTTGATTCTGTTATCATTACACTCTCGGTATAACATATGTTCTTAACAGAAAGTTAAGAACGTTAGTATCATAATCCGAGCTTATTAGCTTATTCGATTATTCTCTTTAAATTAAATATGACATGCAAGCATTTTAGGCTGCAAAATATCAGGTACCGGGCGCAATCGAAACAGTGACGGCAAAGTTCCTGTGTAGAGTTCGCGAGGACACGCACCACCTGACTCAAAGCAGCTGGCGGCCGGCTGCTTGCGCTTGCGCACAACAAAACTCGTTTGAATCAAGCAAACGTTACAATATGGCGGACCACCATCGTGCTAAAAAACGACCATGCTCGCATGCCACTCTGCGGCCGGGGCTTCGATCGTCACCGTCACGTGTGGGTTTATGTAAAGCCGAACGTAAATTTGTTCGCATATAGTCGCCGCTCGGGGAGCCGCGTGACTGTTCTTTGTCGTACTGCGGAGCGTGCGTCCTTTGCAACGTCCGTATTTTTCCGCTCGTGCTGGCAGCGTCGGCTCCGAAGTTGTTTACTCGCTCCGCGTCGAGTACATAGGCGCTATGGAGGTGTATACAGCCGCGTAGGCAGCGGCGGCCGACGGTACCGAAGCGGTGCCTTCGTCGCGCGACCCTGATAATTTGCCGCGCTTATGTTACTTCAACGGCTTCTTGCGACACGTAGCCGCTTTCCTGGGTTTCTTCGAGCGACGCACACATGCGACGCGTTTGCAACAACATGCTTACAAGCATCGCCGGCCCAGTGCAGAGTTTCTCTATTGGTTTCACCGCCGTTACAAATCGTACATTTATAACTTGCGGGAATGATAAGATATATCCTTCTGCTACGATTACACGAATATAGAGCCGTACTCACGGAATGCATGCGTGTAAACTGGAGCCATTGTTTAATCATTAACTTCTCAGAAAAGAAATTAAAACATTACATAACTATAAAACGGTAATATTCAGCTATCAATTACTTGATAGTTCTTTAATTCCTTGTGAAATATACTCCAGTGAGTTTAGTAATCTAATCATGGCCGTACGATTAACAGCTCTACATCAGGCAGGCACGAGTTAACGATTTACTTGTTTCCTTCGATTGCATGGTTTGTTAGTATTGACTTATTGTAATAGCTCAAGTCGCTTTCATTGTTAAAAACAGTACACTGATATAGATAAAGATTCATAAAATCACGGAATGATAAGAACAATTCGACACATCTTTCAAAGTTAACGTGGTCTCGACAAGAAGAGGCCATGGCATTTGAAACCCGCCGAAAAGACGTTGTTAATTTTCTCGAGTAGCGGGTGATGTAAGTTTTTGTGTTGGATACGTTATCTATTAACACAGATTGAGATAACTTACGGGACATGTTGACCAAACGTTCTACGTTTGTACACGTTTACTTCTTTTACAACCTAGTCAACAGTGTCAGTCCTAATAGCATATCGGGATACACACACAATATCCATACGATGAAGATTGCAAGAAACGAGTTGGCGAAAATCGGGTTACAATAATTATTGAGTCAGCGTTTACACGCAATTCAAGTACCAATTGGCATTCGACATATCATATCTTCTAGACCATAATCTGTATTTACTTTTTGTGTTGAAAAATTTATTACTTTTAACATAAAATTTTTGATTCACTACACAAACTGTTGTTGTTTTCGGCATACATTATTTACTTTTCTTCACCTTTTCCTTATTTTGTGTCGATGCTCACGACAATGGATTACATACCCCGATACACGAGGATGATAGACGTTACTTTCTTGCTTTTACAGTGCGCAGTAGATATCAGCCCAATTATAAACCGAAGTTGTCGCAGTCGACCATAATTCAATAAATTATCAACATTATTGCGACTCAGGCAATTACAGTAGACGAACGAAAACATGGTAAAGCGAGGCGTAGTTATTCGTTGTTTGGTTAATCATTAAGAATTGTGAGTGAACTTATACATGGTCGTGATAGCGTGATAGCTCAGTGTCCGGGCGCTCGCCTTTAATTCAATATATACTCGAGCAACCTGAGTTCGATCCCCGGTGCCGGCACCAATGAAGTTTTTAACTTTAAGTGCTGAATTATCACGTGCTCCGCGGTGAAGGAAAACATCGTGAGGAAACCTGCATATTTTTGAAATAATAACAAAAAAAAATGTATTTCGAAAATATGTGAAGTCTGCCAATCCGCAGTGGGGCCGCGTGGTGGACTATGCCCTGATACCCTCTGTATAGAGGAGGCCTTTGCCCAGCAGTGGGACATGTATAGGCTGTTACTTTACTTTTTTTATACATGGTCATATAACTATCGCAATTATTCTTGCAAACTATATCCGGCAATGACAAATGTTATGTTGAATTATTTCAATATTCTAATATATTTTGCATAATTTTTTTTCCGTTCGTGTACGATTTATGTACATAATGGTCGTCCATTTACCGTTTGGTCACAAAGCACTAATGAATTAAATGTGAGAAAACTATTTAAAAAATGCTCTATATAGTAACGTGTTCCTACGAACGTCTCAAGAGGCGGTTTCTTTGATATGATAAGGTGACACATTAGGTCTTCTTTTTTGTATATACTTAATAATATTGAGTTGTAATTGAATTTATTGATCGAATTATTCCGATTGTGATGTTAGGAAATTATTTTGCCGTCCGAACATTAGTAGATAGTTACACTTCGATGAAAAAGAGGGAATTAATCTGTGACATAATCGGCGGCATAACTTTTGAAATTTGAACCGAGGAACGACTAACCAACAGGCAAGACCGTTGCGCGCCGAACCGCGTATTCTTTACTTCGCTCTTATTACGAGACGTGGAAACAACAAGCGTGCGTTAGTCAATACAATTATCGTAATGGGTTGTTCCGAATGGAGTATGCACAATCCTCGTAAACAATTTGCCGGCGTAAGTCCCTTAATTCATAGACACCGTTGCGATTAAAACTCGATCTGCGACAGCTCGGCAATAACATGTTGCCTCGTAATGTGGAGCGAAATTGAGACCTATCCGCGTAAACAACTCGTCACGGCGTTCATGCACAAGCCGGGTGTTGGCCAGAGCGGGGCGTCCGTGACACCTAATCGAGCGCAGCACCTCTGCTATCTGGTGCTTTGATAAGGCACGCTATCAGTTTGCGGCGCGGGATGGCCTGAGCGCCTGCTGTGTTGGCCATTGCACGGCGGAGCGGTCCGGGGCCGCCGCACATGTTGCGGAACGTGGTGGCGCGGGTCGGGAGGGGGGCCGGCGGGGGGTGCGGGGCGGACCGCCACGCCAGCACACCGGCCCAACGCACGCACACACTCTCGCGGCGCCGACACGACGCCCGCGCCCGAGGAGCGTCACCGCGCCTTATCGCAGCCATCTTTAAACGAGCACGGCTCACGCCACCGCGCTCGGTACGAATTCCACGCGAGAACGACGCCGCCACGACGGCCCCGCCGGGCGCACTCCTTTCATTGTTCGAAGCGAGCCAAGAGAGTAGCGGCCACCTTCTTCAAGGTTATGATAATTACCCGTCCGACCGGTGACGTGCCCGCGTCGACTCATCGTAGTGTATCTATCACACCTACATAGACATTTAGCGGTCACAAGGCGCCGTAGGGACGGCGATGTTTTCAGTTACGAAAACGACAACCGCTTCTGCGTGTGTCACGACTATAACAGTTCAGAGTACATCCAATGTTGTACAGTGCAATAACTAAGCGTCGAAGGCTAAAATCGCTCAACGCACAACGTCGGCTTATACAAAAAAAAGTATTCCCAGTCCGAAACGCTCCTTTCATTTCGCTTTTCCGAGACCGTGTTCCTGTGGCGACCACTCGTGAAGTATCGATCTCGGGAGGGAAGCGTGTGGGTCGCCATCCCGTCGCCTACGTCTCAGCGACGGCGGCTCTGGCGTCGCTTCCCCAATTCCGCGCCAGAGGCTGTCGGGCGGGTGATAAAGGAAAACTGCCTACGTAGCCGGCCCCTAGCGGGTGCCCGCTCGGAGTGAGGCGTTGTCGCCGCATCTATATATAGCGCGTGTTGGTCTGAGCGGACTGCGACCGCGCCCGCCGCCGCACTCCGACGACGCCGCCCGACGAAAGGTCAATTGGCGCGCAAATTATTTACGTCGCAAAATCCGCAACGTCGCTGCACCACCGCGCTGCCATCCAACCGAATATTATTAGCTAGTCGATAGTCGGAGGACGAGGGAGGCGTTCGATTTGTTATTGCCTTTTAGAAACGCGAATGCGTATGATGATATGATAGGAATAAGCTTACCGACGACGCCACGAAGTCCATTTATTTAAAACTAGACACGAACATTAAGTTAACGCATAATATATGTAAAGATTGTTAATTTTAAAAAGGCAAAGTTCGTAGCTATCGAACCTCGTGCAACATCACTGTGTTCTGCAGCCTATTCATGTCGTGAATTGATTAAATAGTTGGTACTTAATCTAATGTCGCCTTCATGTGCCCGTGATAACGTTCCTAATGTTGCCTAAGATTATATCGGGCATCATGAACGGTTTCATCGGTGTTCGGTTGAATGGCGGTTTATTTCGTTGCAAGAAATTGTCGTGTTGCGTGGAGGCCGAGGCGAGGTGAGCGCTGCCATGCTCAGCTGGCACTTACTTTTAAGTGTTAGTCACGCTCGGAATGCCTGCGCTGGCCGCCTCCTACAAGAACAGCTAGTGACGCCACGGACACGCGCACAAAGACACGCAGTATACGCGTATTGTTTGTAGTTATATAGCAATGGTCAAAGACAGACTCGATAAACGTCTACTTCGCTGTCAACATCGCGAAGTTGCATGGTACCACACAAAACCAAACAATGGAAGCAATAATATTGACTAGACATTGGAAGATCTACATCGCGGTCTAACTGTTCATACGTCCGCTACAATAACTCGATACGTACAAAGCTCACATTTAGCGAACTGAAATTTTAAGAAGCTTTACATTCATAATACGGAAAAAATGATTTGATTAGAGGCAGCTTATAAATTATATATTATGTAGATTCATTCAATGCGTAAAACGCGTTGCTTATTACTAAAATTTGTACCACAAATTTTAGTAATAAGAATTTATATTATATTTCCCACAGCTCCATTGACGACATTTAACTATAGTTGAGGGAATTAAAAAATGTTATCTAAAAGTAACTTCTAACTTATTGAGAATTACTTTGTATCTCGTCTAATGTACAAGGTGACCCCAAGCGCCAATAAAGAGCTATCGTCGATAATCCAAGCATAAGATCGTGCTTTATGAATGCACGGTAGACAAAATACCGGTAAGCGGTCGGCTCACGAATGAAAGCAAAAGTAATCGCGTCCTATCCAAATGACTTGATATGCCCGATGCCCGATGGCGGGCCGGCTTCGAACTTGAGGCGAGAGTGAAAGGAGACGAGTTGGATTTTGAGGTAAATATGATATTCCGCCGGAACGGGCGGCGCACGGTGTTTTTGCTAATTGTATTATCGTAATGGCCGACGTAGGATCCTGTACGCGTTCGGTTCGATGGCTCGCGCGTTTCGCGTTAAAAATACGCGAGGTATAATATTTTATTTCGCCCCGAGGCTTTTCCGCGAGCCTTTCTCGACCATTTCAAAATGAAATCGGGCCGCGATTCGATTTGAAAATGCTACGGGATATAAGCGCGCAACGAAAATATTACAAAAAATCTTTCAATACATATCATATACAGCAAGTTGGAAACCAATGTTGGATATTGATTAACATGTAGTTGCTTAATATAATAGATACGAGTAACAGTATATAAATAATGTCATCCATTGTGTGTTACTCCTTAAATATTAATTACATGTTCAAAATGAGCGTTGAACAATTAGGCGAAGTAAACAGAAAGCGGAATAAATTGTGTTCGATAATAATTATGAACACGGGGCGAACGAGGCGAACACTCGCTTCAATCGCACCACTAAAGGTCACTGCGGACCTATGAGACGGGTAACACAGCATCGGCTCACTCGTCCTCACCGCGGAGCCGAGAGCAAGGCGAAGCGCTCTTTCCTGTTACTTTACACGTGCGACGCATCTCAGACCGAGTTCGGCGAGTTGTTCGACGCGACTATTTTTACATCGGATGCGACAAGCGGGCGGACGCCCCGCGAACGGAGCCGATCTCAGCGCGGCCCTGCAGGACGGTGCATACGCAGGTAGAGGGCCTCGGTGTCCGCAGCCGACGTCCCTGCATCCCCGGTCTCTATAAATACCCGGCAAGTGCGGCGCGCGGCACGCGGGGAGGGGCATCCGCCTCTGCAGCGCTCCAAACCGCGCGGCCAGCGGACCTTAGCGACGGCATATCGATTGCGAGGGCTCCCCCTGCGGCGCGCCGCCTCCATTGTGCCACGGGATGCCTTCTCCGTTTCCTGCCTGGTTCGGTTGCCGGCGCCGCCCCGCGCCCCGCTCTCCCCCCCCCGCACCCGTCAGGACGTCCGACAGCTGCCCCTAGCCGCGTCGCTGCTTCGCGTCGCTTCCCAACGTCCGCTGCCCCACTTCGATGTTTGCTTGCGTAGATGAACTTAATATGCAACAGGAGCAAGCACTGCGCAATATCTTTTTTGCGTGAATGTGTTTCTCAAATATTTATTTTAAAATTGAAAAAGGATTACCCTATAGGTATAAGCAACATGATTGCAAATTTATGAAAGTAATTGATTTCCGTGTTTACATTTTAATATTGTAAACAAATTTATTTAATTTACACGTCTATTCCTGTTTTAAATGTTAATAAGTTGCATTTAAAATTTAAACATTGTTTAAATAAATTATCCACGATTTAAAAATGGAGCTTCGGCTAATCGACCTTTAAAATACATTGGCGAAGAAAAATCCACAAAAAGTTGTTCCATAAGCCATAAAACATCCCTGCCCATTATTACGTCTCTATAGGATAGGAGAGGCGGCTTTACTCGTGCGTCAGCGTATATAGCGTGTATAGCAATACTGTAAGCTTGCATATGGGTCACTTTATATCTTCTTAAAAATATCGCACGGGTACATATTTAAATATGGAGCCTCGGGCAGATGGAATATTTTATGGGGTGATAGAACCCAATGCATACGTTACACCCGATAATTAAATCAATAACTATCACGAGGTCGCATAACCGTACATTTCAGGGAACAATAATTAAGCACAGTATGACAATTTTCAATTATTAACATAACGCCAGGATATTTTGCTTATCAGATGAGTTTGATGGTGCAAAATATGGTGCGTAAAAACGCATAAACATCAACACACGTGATTCTAATATTGTGCAGAGTAATAAATTAGGATTGTTTGAAGCTACTCAAAAGGTTTGATTAATGAAATATAGCATATTAAAGTAAACATAAACTTCATTCATAAAATAACAATTTCGATAAAGAAAGCGGTTTCGTCTTGTTATAAGTTCATTGTAAACATTATTTTGTATTAATGTTATATTTTGTGGATATTAGTAGATAGATGTTATCGCGTACTAAATCTTACATTTATTTATCTTTTTAGCTAGGTAACAAATTGTAAGTCGTCTACATCTGTAAGAAGTAGAGATACTTAAAAAGTTGAACTATACTTAACGGGGTAGGTAGAGGGTCACTGTTTGCAATACAAAAAATAGGGCGTTGTCCTGTTAGAGCCAGTTTGTTTTACCGAACAATACGGCGTATATAATTCATTTTGACAAAGTTCGGTAGTTTGTTATAATTAAGCCATGCTGAGGCGTTTATCGAGATATTATAATGTTCTGATTAAATACATAATTAATGCATTATCAGGAATCATTCTGTATTCGCAATTTAAACCCTATTTTGTGCTACCCTATTTTGATTTATTTATATTTATCATTATATGGTATGTATGGCGTAACGATTTATGTAAACAAATTTTACTATATTATACAACAGGACCTCTACCCCCAAAAGGTGAAATAGCCATTGTAGTTAGTAATAAGTAATCGATCCAGTCATATACCGTTACAGGAAAAAATGTATTTCAATGAAGGCTCATTTGTTTTTAAACTTTTTATCTCAAGGCGGCCCGAAGGAGCTTATTACGTTCTATAAATGAATGTTATTGCGTGAAAAAGAGAGCAGTAATAACTAAACAAAACTGTCAACAATAATTCCTAAATTTTACTTGAATAGTATAATGTATCATATGAAATAGAAGTAATTGGATGAAAGAAGCTATAAATAGAGATTCCCCAATTTTAAGCAACAGCAATCTTTTAAAAACGAGTATTTCATTCAGATTTATTAATTTTTCTATTTTTTATTAATTCTACGGTGTATACCTTGTAAGAAGAGTTGACGGCTGAAAACTTTACGGGTTTTGTTTTTCATACAAATTCGAATCAACACTCCATTTCAAACGGAATCTGTCATTTGCCGCTTTTATCTCTAATTTAATGGCTATCAGAGAGACATCAACGCTAAGTTAAACATGTTACACAATTTTTAATATGCTAATAGTTATACAACAATGTTGTTATAGGAGATCACTACTGTTATATTTTCAAGTAGCATGCTGTACTCGGTCTGCTTCGATTACCTTATATACCGACGGCGAGGAGAATTGTGGAAAAATGATAGCGACGCTTCCAAACCTAGCTTTGGTTAGCCGGCTACGGTTACACAACAAAATATAATACGGGCAGCACTGAGGAGTGCTCTCGTTCGGCCACAGCCGAGTGGAGGTCGCCTGCCGCGCCGGCTCCCCTAGCCGCGTCGGCGAGGATGAAAAACATGGGAGCACATGACATCGGCCCCTCCGCCCCCGTCCCGCGCCCACGCGCCGCGGCCGCCCGCCGCTCGCTCGGCGCTTGCCGCTTGCCGAGCGAGTAGCGACCGCCGCCTCATTCAGCCGCCGACGCTCTCGCGCACTGCACACGCCGCAGCGCCGGCCGCGACCGCCCCGCGCACCCCTCCCCCGCGCCCCCCGCGCCTCAGTCTCGGCACGTTTAACCGACACCGAGCGTTGTTTTGTTGCAGCGGAGTATGCTACAACAGATGTCCTCGTCGCCGAGCGCGCACGTCGGCGAGGCGGCAACCGCGACGCGCCCCCTCGAAGGCCGCCTGTGCGGCGACGCGTCCTCCGAGGCCTCGTCGGACGCCGCCGACGACTTGGAGCTGCCGCAGTGCAAGATAAGGAGGAACTACAGTTGCACAAAGTGCACGTTCTACACGCAGAACCCGCGGGCTTATCTTATCCACACGCGCGACGTGCACTTCGTGAAGCTCAAGATTTATGATTGCGCCTTTTGCGTTTACGCATCTCGACACCATCAGAAACTCGTTAGGCACATTAAAATGGTGCATAGCGAGAGCGCTCCCGCGAAGGTGCCGGAGCAGCCGTCGTCGACCGTGACGTCGTCGATGGAGCCAGAGAAGGAGGAAGACCTATTTGAGGAAGTCGAGGACTGTGATGATGGCCAGATGGAAGTGGATGATTGCGGAGAAGACTTGATTGAGCGTTTGGACGTCGACGGCGACGTGTCAAACGTTGGCAACGCAGCCCCCGGCACTAAAAACAAGGGCAACTTTTTCTCATGCGACAAATGCAATTACGTGACGCACATCAAGGCCAGGTACACGAAGCACGTGAAATACCATTCAATGCCGATGATCAAGTGCACTATGTGCGACTTCCGGACTCCTTACAAGTGGAACTTGGACCGTCACATGAAAAACCACGGCGGTACCGGGAGCTTCAGCTGTTCTATGTGCAACTTCACGGCGGACATTAGGCAAAGTTTAACAGTGCACGAGATGAATCACCACACGCCGCCGGTCGGTCATTTGGTGTCGAGCCGTCGGCGCAACCGTGTGGGCGCCAGCGACCTGAGCCTCGCCGAGGAAATGTCGAACGGGGACGCGCTCATCGGCAAGGAGGAAGAAGGGAGCGGCGATTCGCGATCCTCGCACTCGGCCTCGGTGAGTGTCGTCGCATGGCAGAACCGCACCCGGTGACGTCACGCCCCCACAGTTGCTAACGCTGGCTCCGTTCCGCGAATGCCCGGCATTTTATTTGGCCCCGGTGCAACTTGCATTGCTCTTATGTGCACGCATGAAGGCACAGTGTCGCTTGCGTTACGCGAGGTAGCTTATTTTGTCTGCTGTGGTTTCGACAACCGAACGACTTTCGTATAAACTTGAGTACAAACATTTGAAAGATAATAGTTGAAATATCCCTCCTTCGTGAAAAAAAATCGTTATTTATAATCCTAAATTATCGTCGTAAATATTAGTTTTGAACAAAAGATAGATGATAATAATATACCTACACTAATATGCTTTGCGTTGTCTTGTATTGCCATTACTATCATTGAATATAGTGGCGCGTCACCGGTTCGATTCCCAACGATAAATTTTCAATGTACTTTTAAGCTTTAAACTTCGTTAAAATTGACATTTTTCTTTATTATTTTTATAATTGTTATGTATCTTATTTGATTTTTAAATTTACATTAAATTAATGTAATGTAGTACCTTAACTTAATTTAAAGCTTGTTGTCGTCTTTTGATTTGATATGGGAAAAATCTTTTCATAGTACTTTATGCATGTTTAGAGTTTTAATGGTATTATAGGATGATTTATCAGTCTATGACTCTTCAACAGTATGGACATTAGTATTGCCTTACTTATAGCCTGGAAATAATGCAAGTTTTTATATATTAGTTCATTCTTAACATAAAATTCCCCTTTGAATGGCAGGGGGTGAGGACGAAGTACCATATTTGGCAAGCTGTTTGGCAAACGTAATATAACGTCTTTGTATAAAGATCATGCGGATTGACCTATTAGGCATCTTTTACTACACGTGGCAGATCGAGAGCAAGTATATACACATTTAATTGAGATCTTCTAGCTTAGGGATTTATTATTGCCGTCATGAATATAGATATAGATATACATAGTAAAGTAAAGTAACAGCCTATACATGTCCCACTGCTGGGCAAAAGCCTCCTCTATACAGAGGGTATCAGGGCATAGTCCACCACGCGGCCCCACTGCGGACCCTGGCGGACTTCACATATCTTCGAAAAATATATATTTTTTTTTTATTATTTCGAAAATATGCAGGTTTCCTCACGATGTTTTCCTTCACCGCGGAGCACGTGATAAGTCAGCACTTAAAGTTAAAAACTTCATTGGTGCCGGCACCGGGGATGGAACTCAGGTTGCTCCAGTATATTGAATTAAAGGCGAGCGCCCGGACACTGCGCTATCACAGCTCATTAAAACAATATGTTTGAATGATATGAAATAAGTTGAATTATTTTCAATATGTTCCATAGTTACGTATGCGTGAGCACTGAGCTATCACGGCTTATCATACATAATTCACATAATTTACGGTGGTAGGGCTACACAGCAGCCTCGGCTATTGCACGAATGGGCAGGCCCGTCCGGGTAAGTACCACGACCTCACAGACGACCAGCGTAAAATGGAAGTACGACACTTTCGCGTTTCGTCTGGTGAGTGAGGTAGCCGGAGCCCAATTTTCAAAAGGTTGTCAATGCATCTGTAACCCTCGGGTGTAGCAGATGTCCATGGGCGGCGGTATTCACTCACCATCAGGTGAATCGTCTGCTCGTTTGGCAACTTTTCACTTAAAAAAAATCATACGTAATTCACCTTAAACTAAGTCAGCATCCTCTAAGTTACAGGAATAAGAATCAAAATAAAAAAGCTCAGTACATACATTCGTCACCGGCTAAGTGTAAATGGAGTAATTGTTATTATTTTTTAGGCTATTATAAAATATAAACAAATTATGACGATAAAAGATTTTAGAATAACTACATATTAGAATAACTATAATATTTCTATCTTGAAAATTATAATTAGGATAGTTTGTTACAACGTCAGATATTTAAATTAAAAATGAAACTACATTTTTCGTTTATATAAAACTAAAAGGGACCAGCTACTGAGCTATCGCGGCATTTGTGGAATAGTAACGTCTTTATTATAGACGTGTAATACACATTATGATTACTCGTTTTATAAAAATTATTCGGTAATTTATTATTACATGAGTATTTTGGTCATTCAAATTTGAAATCATAACTTATTATACAGCGTGTCTTTACAATCGCGACAATAAATGTACACACATATAGGGGATAATTTTTTAAAATTGTATTAAACACTTACATTCTTTAAACATCAATATTTACAGTTATTAAATTTTCCAAAACAAAGAATTTTAGAACACCCTTACGTATAAAACTATAACGTAAAGTTCATTTGTAAAGGTCACAAAGCATATGAATGGGTTGAATGAATTTAAAAGAGACAAAACATATGTTAGAAGGAGAGGCTTGTAATGCGACGCTGTGGCGCGAGTTGTATAGGATGTTACAAATTTTCTTTCTTTTTTTATTTAATTAGTTTGTTTGAAAAATATTTTTTTTAATTATGGATTTTGTTTAACGTTAATACTTTTTTATGATTATTGGCAAGTAGCGTTAGACGTGTGTTCATTTATTGTCGCGATGGTAACGACACGCTGTATACATACATTAAATTTGGTTCTCATTATACACTAAAATCCTCATCCTAATCCTATAATCATAAGAAATAATAATTTATTTCATTCAATGAAAATTTTATTAAAATATTATTTCTTTACTTTACAGGAAATGGGCCTACAGTACACGGAACGCGAAGTAGTTAGTTGTAATAGTGACTCTAATGACGCCGCTAACTCTGAAACTTCTACTAAGAATGATGTCACACAAAATGAACAACATCAAGACTTAAATAACACAATGTTGGAAGATTCGAAATTACAAAAACAGAATCGAAAAATTCCCAGACCAATTCCTCAGCTCATACCACTTAACTCTTCGACACCAAATCAAAACAAAAGTGCTTCAGGTGAACCACCAACGAAGAAATTTAAGGAATCTATATCCAGCGATTCTGCTGATTCCAGTAATTCTAATAAATTAGATAGTTTGCCGGTAGATGTCACATTTACACCTGTTATTAATAGTGTTACCAATAATAATACAAAAGAAACATCTACACGCAAGAAAAATGAATCTTTTTTCGACAAGTTAAAAGAAAGGTTGTTGACAGAAACGGGTGAAGAAGGGTCTCTAAAATGCAAAAATTGTGGTTTTGAAAGCAAGTGCTTGTCGGAGCATTCGGTGCACGAAAAAACTTGCACCTCCCAAACAAATAGAATCCCTTCAAGCGCATCCATGTCAAGTTTAAGCTCAACAAGATGTCAAAACTGTAGACATAGGTGCAAATCTAGCGCAGATTTGTATGTGCATATGAAAACTTGTAAAAAGAATATAAATTGCTCGAAAGAATTTGCAACAGAAACCCAAAATCAAGACAGCAATGAAGCAGTTCATACGAATCCGGAAAAAGAAGCCGAACCGCATCCTATGGAGAACGTTGTATTTGTTTGGAATAACATTGACAGAGAAGCAAGGAAATTTGATACACCATTAGATATAAGTATAAATGACGACTCAACGCTACCAGAGCCATCACAATGTTTTGATTATGAAATTGTAGACGAAAATGAGGGTATGAACTTGTCACCAAGTCAAGCTATTGGGAAAAAAGTATTCAAGTGCCCACACTGTTTGTTTTGGGCCTCAACAGCTTCAAGGTTTCATGTCCACATTGTAGGACATTTAAATAAGAAACCCTTCGAATGTTCTTTATGCAAATACAAATCTAATTGGAGATGGGACATCACGAAACACATCAAATTGAAGTCCGCGAGGGATCCCGACCACACTGAAGCAAAAGTACTAATGACGGATGAGACGGGCAGAAGGAATTATAGTAAATACAATAAATTCTTAGCTATGCCCATAATGAATGAAAAGGGAGAAAATGAATTCCATTACATAGATCAAAATACTACAATTGATGCCTCGTTGGAAATTGATGACTCCTACGAGGTTAACGAGGGTACAAGCACACCATTAGAAATACAACCCCTAAACTTGCAAACTCAACAAAGTGAATACAAATATAATATTGACAACAGAAATCAAGACCAGAAAAGACCTAAAAAAACTTTATGGAAATGTAAAAAATGCAATTACAGGTAAAAAACAAACCATTTTCAATTATAACTGATACTCGTTAAGTCGTAATACAGAATGAAACGAATAATGATATTAAATTGTTTCAGAGATTCATCAAAAGAAGCATTATTAGAACATGTACGGGAACATTCAAAGCCGCTCTATAGTGTAGAAGATACAAAATCTCACAGTTCTACACCTAAAAAGCCCGAAAACATGCCCGATCCAGCAGACTTAGCCTACCGTTGTGGGCATTGTAATCAATTATCGAATTGGAAGCATGTAATTCAGGTATGCCATAACCATGTAACAAACATTAAGTAACGAACTCAAGTATGTTTTAATATTAATAGTTTATCGTTAATACCTATTTTTATACCTTTGTTAAATTAAAAGGGTAAAAGAGCTTCTAGATAAGAATTTACATCTTTTACCGCTATGAAATTTTTTTAACAGAACGAAAATAGGACACACTAAAAAAATATATTAATCCATTGTATTCATTTTACAGAGACATTGCAGGCTGAAGCATGACGGAGTGATAAAAGTTGTAACCACCGTGAAGCCCAAAGTAGAGGGATCAAGCTCAGCAAATGAAACCGTAACTGACAACTGTACTAAGTGTCCCTTTAAAACGAATGACAGAACCTTACTTATAATACATATGCAACAGCACCAACCATCGCCTCAGTCTATTTTCAAGTGCTATTTCTGTCCATACTTCGTCAAAGATGAGCAGGAATTGGTTCAACATCTTGTTCTTCACGGCATTACTGATCCCGAGGATTATATAGCGAAAGCGATGGGTTGTAAATCGCCACTACCTGATCAACAAGGACCACAGCCTACATCCTCCTCAACAAAGCGGCATAAATGCACTGAATGTCCTTACGAAACAAACAGTAAATCCCAGTTCATGTATCACGAGCAATTCCATCGACTCCCAGCAGATACTCCATATAAATGTCCGGAATGTAATTATAGTGTCTCTAAAAGACATCTTCTTCATCAGCACATGAGAGTTCACGGTATTACAGCCAAAAAAATCGAATTAGATACTGATGTGGAAATATGCGGATCAAATTCTTACAAGACGGATAGCAAAATAGAGTGCAACCTTGAAGAAATTCCCTACGTGTGGGTATCGGCCAAGAACGAATTTCACAAAATGTACAAATGTCGTTATTGTTCTTATGTCAATGCTCAAAAATGTAAAATACCAAATCACGAGAAAATCCACTGTATTGTATTTGGAAATAATGAAATTATACTATATAAATGCTTAGATTGTAAATTTACATGTGACAACGCCGGACGATTAACAGAACACTCTAAAACCCACGGTGAAGTATACGGACGTATTTATTGTCCCGTTGAGACTGATATTCCAGATGAAGAACAGATAGCAAAATTAAGAAAAGTAATTGAGAAGGAAAAGCTGAATACAACAGACGATATATCAAAAGAGGACGGCGGAGGCAGCGAGAGCAAAGTAATTAAAACGTTGTACTTTTGTCAGCAGTGCCCAGCGAGATTCTTCACAGAAAGTGAATTGAAATTTCATGACAAATTTCACAATCTCGGATTTGATTTCAAATGTCGCAGCTGTGAATTTTCCGTACTTCAAGAAAGCGAAATGGTTGCTCATGCAATTGTTCACTCCGATGAATATCATACTAAAACTAAAATGCTCAAGTTCATTCACAATACGCACCAAGCGCACATTGAACCTCGATTAGAGCTTACCAATTGCCAAGAATCTTCAGAAGGAATCTGGATTGTTGCTCATCCTGGAAAAAACTATGATGTCTCGGATACCTCGCTTAAAAAATCTCACGAGGGAAAAAATATTCCAAAACAATATTTCTGTAAAGAGTGCCCCGCAAAATTCTTTAAGAGTTCAGCTTTGAATTATCATATGGGATTGCATGACGGTGATGGCGAACACAAATGTAAAAAATGTAGTTACGCAGTTAAAAATATTGGTAATTTAGCAAAACATGAATTATTACACGAGAATGAAGGTAAGACGTCATGCGATTATGAATCTGGAGAGGACATAGATTACAAAAATATTCCACTATCGGGCACAGATCTCTTTCAAAGAAAGACTGAAGCTCAAAAACGGGTGTTAAATGATAAAGATAAATTAGTAAAACCTAACGATCATTTTCCGCCTGTGCTTCAAGCAGATCCTCAATTCGGATATTTGATGCACGGTAATCCAGAATTTATCTATCCCACATATTTAAAAAATGGACGACAAAAAGAGAAACGATACAAATGCCATAAATGCCCATCGGCCTTTGAGAAAAGGGAACAATATAAAATTCACTTATCATTGCACGGTTCAAAGCAGAGGTACAAATGTGAACTTTGTGACTATTCTGTAAAGTATTATGCAAATTATGTTCAACATATGAGGAAGCATCAAAAGAATGACGAAGCTCAAGCTGAAAGAAGGAAGGAAACCACTGGTTTTGTTGATATAGAGGCAACTGCGGAAAAACGCGATGATAACACAGATAATATAAAATTAGCCATTAAAACTATGCCTAAGGGAATACCTAAAAGTGATTTTCAACAGTTTTCTATAAGTGATCAACAGACGCTCAGATTATTACAACGCAGATGTTCTTTCAATACAAATGACGGTAATACAGCCGATGCTACACCTACAAAAGACAGAAAACTGCATCCGTGCTTTTTATGCCCATACGCAAACCAACGCCAGGATGCCCTGGGCAATCATTACAGGCGGCATGATAAAAATGATGTCTTCAATAATGGCAACAATAAATGTTCCTTTTGTGACCTGGCCGTTGTGCAGTCGCACTTCTTGCGTGAACATTTGAAAACGCATTTTAATTACAACAAAACACTTACTCCAGAGTGCTATGTCGCTAACGAAGACGTTAGTTTTACAATAACAAAATTAGACGAGGAAAATAATACCACTGATCTCAAATTAGACATGCAAACTAAAATAGATGTGTGCAATGAAGAAAAAATATTTGTTAAAATAAAAACCGGAGAATTATTGGTAGAATAGAGATAAAGCATACCTTATTAAATTGCGGCATTTAAATTATAAATTAGATTAGTCAGTAAGTGAAATTTTAGGTATGGGCAGGAAAATTATAAGAGCCAAAAAAATGTTTATATTCACCAAAGTGTAGCTTGCCATATTAGATTAATAGAAATTCTGAATATGACATACATTTTACCAGTGCTATTGTCTGTTTGTTTGCCATTTAACACTACGAAATTACCAATGTGCCTGCAAATTTTATCATTATGTCCATAAAGCAGTTGTTATTGAAAAACAATGTCAATTTATTATTTTACAACTATTTGATTAAGACCATCAGTAAGAAAACTTATTATACCCTTTTAAGACTTTAGATATGAAAGCTGTGTAATTTTCTGAATTTGTAATCATTGTTTCCAATTTATGATATGTACAAAGATTGTTTTTTTGTATATATTATTATGACAGGCTCAGATCTTTAGATATTGAAAATTAAATTATACTTTTATGACATAGTCATTATTAAATTTTATTTGCATAGCTATTCCGGAATTTGTTAAATGCAAGCAGAATCTCATTATGTTGTTTGCACTTGAACTTCTATATTTAATTAAGCATGAGAAGTTTTGATATTTTGAGTAATGTGTTATATTCAAATTCCTGAAAGCAAACCTATCGAATTCTTTAAAATATAATGTAAAGTTTTAGATATAGAAATTGGTAAGAAATGTGCCAGTTTATTATACCATGTATGTTTATGTGTTGTCCTAAAGGACTCATTCCTGTTGTGAATAAGTTAAATAATAGATGAATACATAATTATCCTCAGTACTTCCATAAAGTTTTATTGATCAATGACCCTTAATAATTTATTGTTTACAATAAATATTTTTAAAATGAAAGTTACTACATAAAGCAGATTAATTTATTACTGTTAACTAATATTTCCTTAATTACTGAACATGATTCCAGTAAGTGATAATAGCTAAGTCAATGCAAAAAAGTGGGAGAAACAAAATATCATTATTCATACTAACATGTATGTATTAGATAGTACATGAATTATACTGTTTAAAGATTAGGATACTAAGAACTAAGTTGTCCAAGCAGTCTTAACAGAATTTCCAGCGGTTGCCACATTCGTTACAGAGCACAAATGTAGTCATAGGTTCATCAGAACTTCTGGTTTGGAGCTGGTTGTAAGTGCAGTTCTTCTTTTTGCATTTACCACATTTGAGCATTTCAGTTTTGGTACCCTGTACAGTTGCCAATTGTGCATCATCAATTGCTTCCTTTATAAATTTCTCTCTTAATTTTTTCATTTCATCACTTGCCATTTCTTCAGGTGTCATTTTTGCCAATCGCGAAGCTGATATGACACCATTAAGGAAATTAGTGCGCAAAGTAGGATTTTTTGGGTCTTTTAAGTTTGCAACTCTTGACCTCACCCTATTTTTGTATCTCATGTCAGTATTTTTAAATTCAGCATAAATACATTCCTCGAGTTCTTCAGCTAATTCTTCCGGTGATCCACAAGAATTTGGATTTTCTCCATCAGTTTTTAAAGCCTGAGTAAGTAGTTCACGACATTTTAGCCTGACAGCATCGGTTGTATTTGACTGAGGAGGAAAAGAAGCAGGTAATTTCTTATCTTTTTCTTTATCTTCCTTTTTTTCCTTATCCTTGCTGGAGTCTTTTTTTGGTTTTGATGAGCTTCCAGAGTCTTTGCCCGGTGTGGTAGGTGTGGAAAGAAATTTTTTCCAATTCTTTATCAATGTTTTACACAATGAAATAACTTCTTCATCCTTACTCGACTTTCGTAAGGCGTTGACTGTCATTCCGATTCTTGTTTTCGTCAAAACATCCAAATTGATAGCCATTGTTTGTAAGGTTTTCAGTAACTCAAGAGCTTCTTCTTGCCCCTAAAAAAATTAAAAAAACCGATAAGTATGTTGATAACACGGTAAGTAATCAATAATATTAAATTCAGTAAACAATTACCTAAGATTCACTTTTTTAAAAAAGTTTTTGTTATATTAAAGGTAATACAGTAAAATCAAAACAGTTTTCAATAATATAAGATAATACCAATAAAGTCTGGGCCAAAATCGGTCGGGTTCTTTTGGTTCTTCATATATCAAAAAAACTTACCGTGCCATCATTCGACGTCATTTTTGTTAATTTCTTTTGAATTTTCATAACATCTTCTTCCACACTCATTGTTGATGTTATTTAGTTATTCTCAACTTCCCGCTTAAATTCTATAAGCACAGTACCGACGAGAAATATTGATAAATCGACCACCATACCACTACGACATAGACTAAAAATTCGTTTATATGTCAACTCTCCCGGCTTCGGTCACTACAGATAATAAAAAAAACGTAAAAGAAAATATAAAATATTTGTAAATAAGTAAAATTAATTCATAAAACTTTTGTTAAGCTTTAAATATTTTTTATTACTATATTACCAGTTTTTTTTTTTATTTAACAGAGAACGTTTCATCGTTAAATTTTATTAGAAGTATCTCTATATGATAAAAGATGTCGTTAGCGAATTATCTACGTTCAAAATAATACATTATTATAGTTAAGGCTACCATCCAAAAAGCATTTACAAGACAATACCAAATATAATACAGGTATTTCATTATTGCACGGAATTTAAACTTTTGAATATGGAATACATTAATACAGAAACAGAAAATCAAAATTTTATCTCATTGTTTTACACTCATTAATTTAACGAAATAACTTGTATTAGAAACGAACAAACATCGATGAATATTTTAAGAATAACAATAATAAAAAAAATTGGTGGGCCATGGAAATAAAATAGTAAAATAGAAAATCCATTTCATCATGGATGTAAAATTGTATACTCAGTAACTCAATAGATGGCGCTTGAAATGAATTAAAATAAAACTAAAACTACTTATTTGGTAATATTTTATTTAATAATCCTTACTTTGAATTACTTTTATTCTATTGAATTTATTTCAGCTGCCTCCGATGCCGCTCCGGCCCTGACCGAAGTACCCCTTAGATGAGTAGCAGCCAAAGTGTCTACACAAGTAGCGTCCCAAACAAGGGCTTTGCCACTCTCCCAAGGGATCAATGTTAAACCGTCGGGTCTCTTACCATCGTCGCGAAAAAATGCCACAGGGCTCTAAAATAGATGGAACATTGATGGAAACAAGAGCCCTACGGATGATGTCGTTCAGGGAACCGTGGCGGGAAAAACGGACAGCACTTTTTTGACAAGAAAGCCCGTGGAGGCCAAATTTGTCTACACTGACACCACAAGGGCATTGGTGTGGTTGACAAATCGGTACCCCCAGACGGATTCCTACAGCAATGCGTAAGCTTTCATCGTCAAGTAATGTGCCCAGGTTACTTGATGGTAAAGCGTGAAGCCAATAACTTGATTCAGAACAGATGATACAGATGATAAAGAAATGCCACAGGGCTCTAAAATAGATGTACTTGTCTCTTTCTTCCATTTCGTATCATGTTTCGTATTATGTTCAAAAATATAAGTCTGCGACATACAAATATTTTATAAAAAACAAAAGCATAACAACAGAGGTTTGCTAATTGGGATTGTGTGGTCTGTACCAAATATCGCGGAAGATGGATATTATAGGATTATAACGGATACAAAATCAACAGTGGCGCTTCTGTTCCACTTCCAGATAGATGAGGCGGACACAATAATCGTCCCCATAAAACGGATGAAGAGGTCCGCAAAAAACTGCGTATGTCAACCTTTCCGGCGGAACAGTCTCAATACGCCATGTAGCAAAAAGATATACCAAAGTTATTTGTCACCACTTTTAAAAGTCACTAAAATGCACGAACTTTATTTAACGATGTTTGAGAAGTTGAAATTACCAGCAAATTATAAAATTAAGAAAAGTACATAATTATAAAAAAAGTTTTCGTTACTGAATTTAATCTCTCTTTTGGATACCCCATGTGCAACTTATGATGCTAGAAATTCAAATGAAAAGCTGATACATGCTTTTCATTTGAATTACCACGCTGCGATTGAAGTCATTACAACAGATGGACCCAAAAAAGACAATGGATTATTATACCTCACAGTAGACTTACAACACACCATGCCACTTCCTAAAATACCGACTTCTAAGGCATTCTATTTACGCCAGATTTGGTTTTATTAACCGACTTAAAAAGGAGGAGGTTTCTTAATTCGACCGTATATATATTTTTTATGTGTATTCGCGGATAACTTCGTCGTTTATGAACCGATTTTGATGATTCTATTTTTGTTGGAAAGGAGATATCCCAAGAGTGGTACCATGATAAGGTAACCCAGATCTGATGATGGAATCTCAGAGAAATCGAGGGCAATCCTCAAATTTTATTAGTATTAATAATGTTTTTTAGTCTCCGGTTTGAAGCCGGTTTTTTTGTTAATATTATACGGAATTTTATTATAATCTGGGCACCCATGTTAGTGACCAGACCAAACAAAAAGCTGTGGACAGAAGATATAGCCGACAGAAGTATTGTTGAAGATGCTAGCTCCCTACTAACATTTGTTGAAGTGGATCCATCTTGTCGCAAAAAAAATCTTATCAAAAATTTATTTATATGGTCGGACTCCTGTGCTGGAGAGAATAAAAAAAATATCTACCAAGACATGATCATGAAGGATTATTTTAAAATCATTGACCACAAATTTCCCGATGTCGGTCATTCTTATCTGGACTCTGATAGAGATTTTGGTCGAATCGAAAAGATCAAGCGCAAGCATGAGGCAATATCGAGAGCTTATATGCAAAGTATCTAGAAACAATGTTATTATCGATATGACGGATCATTATCGTAAAATGAACTAGTTGCAAAATCAACTCAATTTGATAAACAGAAAAAAACATGAAAACAAGCAAAGGGTTAATTTCAGGGACGGTATTCAGTGGATAAGGGTAGAAGAATTCGGTGCCTACTTATACAAAGAAAGTTATGATGAAAACATGCCTTTTAGAAAAGTGAAGTTATTAAAAAAAGAGGACAAGTAGAAGACTTTTTAGTTGAACGGGTACAAAGAAAATATGGCACAATTTCTGAAGAAAAGAAAGCTAATATTAAAGAACAGATAAAATTTTTGAAACCGGAATTATGAACACTTTGTAGGTCCAGATTAAACCGACACACATGTAATTTTTTTTGCTTTTCTTACGTTAATTATGTAGTTAATTTATTCATCCGTAAATTAAGTATGAAACTTCTTTATTATCAAGAAATTAATGAAGGAGTTATGTACATTTTTTTTTTTTCAATAAAAACATATTCTTATACTTTAATCTTATTTTTCCACTACATATTAGTAGGTGTCAATAATTACTATAATTTGATATAAATAGTTAGTAAATAATCAAAAAGAAAAACGATTTATCTGAAGAACAAGCAACAAAACTTTGATGCCCGTTTTCTCAACATTTACAAATTGTATTATATCCCCTTCATCCACTCATGTTTTCAATTATTTACGCTATGCAAGGAAGCAAGGAAGGCAGGTAGAGCGACACTAGAAATTTTCCTTATACCGATACCACCAAAACGAATTGGCAGCGTAGCTTGAGTCCAACTTAATTCATTAAGAGATAAATTTAGAATTTATTTCTAGAGCCGATTTAAGATGGAAATCAATTTCGTTCAAAAAGTCACCGCATTTCCAATCTGGACTCGAGCGAAGAAGGTACGTAAATTTAGGTACAAGAATACAATGTCGCAAAATAGTAATTGCGAATTTAGTAAAAACAATTTGTTAACATGATCTAAAAATTGATTTAACTTTAATTTTAAATGAGGTTCCAAACTTGGTATCAACAAAGGAGCACCTAAGAGGTAAAGTGAATCTGAACGGACTACGGAGGCAGCTGAAGTAAGTAAATGGCACAAATATGAGTCTTTATGTTTAGATTATGTATTTGTGCCATTTGCTGATGAAACTTTAGGTCCGTGGGGTCCCCGCACATCAAATTTTTTTAAAAGTTTATGTCCTAGGCTTAACGCCGCGGCTGGTGACAAGAGAGCTGGTTCTTTTCTCGCTCAAAGGTTAAGCATAAATATTCAGCGAGGAAATGCAGGTAGAGTTCTTGGCACTATGCCACGTGGATTAGGTTTATTAGATAATATGTAATTTTAGAAAGATTTAATCTTGTAAATATTGTATCAAAATATAATTAAAAATATTGTAATTAATATGTGACATACACAAAAAATACATAATTCTATTGAAAAGTCAATGGATATAGGAATATATGAGTGAAAACTGCATACTTTACGCTTGTTTTACGTCAACCAGCGCCTCTACAGATAGATTGAATACAAATTTTCCAACATCTATGGCTATGTATAGTATAGCTAAGTATATCAGATTAAGGACATTTATTTATCACAAAAAGAACATTACATAGTTCACTTAAAACGTGATAAACATATAGAAGAAGTCTTAAATATATGTATGACACAAACAACTGTGGTGTATATGACTTGTATTATTCTGAAAAATCATTTGGAATAATTACTGCAACCACCTGCAATCGATGATGATAAAATAACATAATGAAATTTGAAAAATACCTCGTCACGGAGACTCGCCAGTTACAGTAAAACTTTTACGCTTCAGTTACATTTTAATTTTTTTTAAGAAATTTAAAATGTAACATTACATTATGTATGGTTAGTTATGTATTAGTATATCAGATTAAAGACATTTATTTATCACAAAAAGAACGTTACATATTTCACTTAAAACGTGATAAACATATAGAAGAAGTCTTAAATATATGTATGACACAAACAACTGTGGTGTATATGACTTGTATTATTCTGAAAAATCATTTGGAATAATCACTGCAACCACCTGCAATCGATGATGATAAAATAACATAATGAAATTTGAAAAATACCTCGTTACGGAGACTCGCCAGTTACAGAAAAACATTTACGCTTCAGTTACATTTTAATTTTTTTGAAGAAATTTAAAATCTAACATTACATTATGTATAGTTAGTTATGTTATCTTAATATTAAGGCCCTGTATGCAGTAAAAATAGATTATATGTTAATCTTGATCTTACTTTTTAATAGAACATTGTTTTCAAAACATATTCTCGATAGAAAAAACTCATGAAACTACCTCTAAAAGCGAAATTCAAATCCAAAAATTAACGTAATAGATCA